AACACGGGTGTACTTACATACATGCAGACAATATACTCATATACATAAAAATAAAAAATATTAAATACTGGGCTGGAGAGGTGGCTCATCAGTTAAAAACACTGACTGTTCTTGCAGAAGACCACGGTTCCAAACCCAGCACCCACATGGCAGCTAACAACTGTCCATAACTCCAGTTCCAGGGGATCCGACAGTCTCTTCTGTCCTCCAAGGGCATTGCATGACATGGGTGCACTTACTTACATGTAGGCAATACACACACATAAAATAAAAATAAATAAAATATTTGAAAAAATAAATTAAAAATATTAAATATTAAAAATAAAATAAAAATAAAAGTATTTATACTTTTAATAGGGAACAAAAAGTACTTGCCTAACCTATGCACCATTAGCACCTCATTGAGTAAATACAGATAAATGCTGCTTGACTCCTTTAACTTCCAATCTATACTAACAAGCTACCCATGACCCTACAACCTGAACCCGAGGCAAAATACTATCACTCAATAAAATTCCATATTGTTATCCCACTTTATCCCTTCAGAGATGTCTTTCTTGATACAGAAAAAGTGATTCATTTCCCATGGACCGATAAGAGGGGCTGTATTAGAACCACAGTCACTACTGGTACCTACTCTATTTTTAACAACTGTTATCCTCTATTAACCACTAGAAGCAAACTTTAAAAATTACCTACATATTCTAGGTTAAACATGAAATGCAGCATTCCCTTCCGGGCCATCTGAAAAATTACCAACAAAGATCCTACACAACCTCTGTATTATGCATAATAAACATTGGTTCTCATATGTAAAATGTTTCAGAATTTATTCACTGTTAGTTTCAACTGTTTTCTCATAGTCCTTTTTATTCTGTTAGCCATTCTCTATATTTTTTTTTAAATCTCATACTCAATCTTCATGCATGGCCACCTGTAATTGTATCCAATCTCCTAATTTCTAATTATCAAATGACTCAACATGTCCCTAGTATGTTATTCCCAATCAGTGCTTTTTAATGCATGTACTTTTTAAAAAAATTTTATTTATTATTTTTATTTTATGTGTACGTGTGTATTGCTTGCATGTAGGTAGGTGCACCTGTGTCGTGCAATGCCTGCAAAGGACAGAAGAGGCTGTCGGATCCCGTGGAACTAGAATCACAGACAGTTGTTAGCTGCCATGTAGGTGCCAGGATTCGAACCTGGGTCTGCTGCAAGAACAGTCAAGTGGTCTTAACTGCTGAGCCATCCAGCCCCCAATGCATGTGTTTTGTTTTTTTTTTTGTTTTTTGTTTTTGTCTTTTTGAGACAGGGTCTCCCTGTAGCCCCAGCTGTCCTGGAACTCACTATGTAGACCAGGCTGGCCTCACATAGATCTGCCTGCCTCTGCCTCCCAAGTGCTGGGATTAAAGGTGTGCATGACCACCCCTAACCTAATGCATGTACTTTTACATTCATATTATTCACCTAAAACCCTCATACTCTTCCACAAAGGTGAATATTTTCTTCCTTCCTGTTTACAGGTACATAAACCTAAAACCATTTTTAACAAACCCTGACACATGTTATTATTCTAAAACATGGCCTCCAGACACAAAAACACCCCAATTAAACTGACTATCCAAAACACTTCAATACTTGTTAATATGACTTTGTAGAAATGCTAACAGATGGGCTGGAGAGATGTCTCAGCAGTTAAAAGCACTTAACTGCTCTTCCAGAGGGCCCTAGCTCAGTTCCCTGCACCCACATTGGGATGCTCACAACCACCTGTAACTCCAGTTCCAGGGGATCTGACACCCTCTTCTGGCTTCCATGAGTACCTTTCACACATGTGACATATACTCACAGATGCATACAAATACACATAAATAAAAATAAAATTTTAAGGGGGGGGGATGACTCAGTGGTTAAGAGCACTGTCTGCTCTTGCAGAGGACCCAGGTTGGATTCCCAACACCCACATGGCAGCTAACAACCACCTATAACTCCAGTTCAAGGGGATCTGATGCCCTCTTCTGACCTGAGGGCACTACACAATACCGGTGGACTTACATATGCAAGCAATACACTCATACACATCAAATAAAAATAAAATTTTTTTAAAAATTGTCTTTTTTAAAAAAAAATTTTTTATGTCTATGTGTGTATTGCCTGCATGCAGGTAAGTGCACCTGTGTCATGCAATGCCCATAGACAACAGAAGAGGCTGTCGGATCCCCTGGGACTGGAGTTACAGACAGTTGTTAGCTGCCATGTGGGTGCTGGGATTCGAACCCTGTTCTTCTGCAAGAACAGCCAGTGTTATTAACTGCTGAGCCATCTCTCCAGCGCCTTTTGTCTTTTTGAGACAGGGTCTCCCTGTAGTCCCAGCTGACCTGAACTCACTATGTAGACCAGGCTGGCCGCTGGCCTTGGAACTCACAGAGATCCACCTGCCTCTGTTGGCACTAAAGGCATGTGTCACCATGCCCAGCTATAAATAAAAATAGTTTTTAAAAAAACTTAAAACAGAGCAGGGAGTCAGAGGCAGAGGTAGAAGCAGGCAGATCTCTGTGAGTTCGAGGCCAACCTTGTCTACAGAGTTCCAGGCAAGCTGGGGAAAAAGGGAGACCCTATCTCAAAAAAAACTGATAATATTTATATGGGAGGGTTAACAGAATGCAATTCAGGAGACAGAGGAGATTTCTGTTATATTTGCAATATTTTATTTCTTATGTGGTATTGAGAACACATGATCATTTGCACTACATATTTTTTCTTTTTAATTTTATTACTTCTGCTGGGTGTGGTGGTGCATGCCTTTAATCCCAGCACTCCGGAGGCAGAGGCAGGTGGATCTTTGTGAGTTTGAGACCAGCCTGGTCTACATAGTGAATTCCAGGACAGCTGGGGCTACAAGGACACCCTGTCTCAAAAAGACACACACACACACACACACACAAAAAGCTATTTCTTCTTATTCTATGTATACGTGTGCTGTCTGCATGTATGTAAGCGTATGAGTGTACTCTCCGCATGTAAGTGCACCTCTGACCTGCAATGCTGGCAGAAGTCAGAAGAGGCATTCAAATTCCCTGGAACTGGAGTCACAGATGGTTATTAGTTATCCTGTTTATGTTGGAAACCGATCCTAGGTCCTCTTCAAGAGCAATCAGAGCTCTTACTGCTGAGCCATCTCTCCAGTCCCAACATTATGTATTCTTCATTCCTTTTCATAGTTGAAATACTTCACATGAGTTTTAAAAAGACATCTGTATGTTACATGGTGGTACACACCTCCAGCACTCAGGAGGCAGAGGCAGATGGATCTCTGTGAGTTTGAGGTCAGCTGAGGCTACACAGTGAGACCTTGCCTCAACCACCCCCAAAAAGATATCCATAAAACAGGGAGACCGTCTCAAAAAAAAAAAAAAAAAAGATATCAGTATGTAATGAATATCTTTCCCTCAAACACTGTAACAAGTTGTTAGGTTCAAGTTGCACTAACTGAATTGCTACATCTAGGCCCATCCTTTCCTTATTTACCTAAGCCAAGAAAAGAAAAAAAATTACAAGCCGGCCACCCAAAACTTCCTTAGACTTATCTTTAAAACATATTCCAGGTTTGACCAGGTGTGGTGGCTCACACCTTTAATCCCAGCACTTGGGAGGCAGAGGCAGGCAGATTTCTGTGAGTTCAAGGCCAGCCTGGTCTACATAGTGAGTTCCAGGACAGCTGGGGTACAGGGAGACCCTGTCTCAAAAATACCAAAAACAAAAAAAACATATTCCAGGTTTATATCCTTTAACTATACATAATCAGTTCTTTTATAAGCTTCACGTCAACAAAAATTAACATCTCTAATTTCATCTCTGTATCCCTAAATTGCCATATACTCTTATGCCTTATTACTCACACAGTAAGCTTATCCTTATATGTCTATGTAAAATAATACAAAGTGAACTGGTAGACCACATAACTACTTCCATTTGGCTAAATGCAGTCGCATACAATCTATCTCTGAGCATGAGTCTAACTCACTAATAAACGAACTTTTCCGTCTTAACCTTTAACATCAAAATTAAGTTACTCATCATGTACCCACAAATGAAATGTAATCTCTGCCAAATACAATATATCTTAGGTGGACAATCCCAAACACTCCAGTCTGTCCACTTAAGGAGCTTTAATCTTATGCATCCTAAAAGTCCTATTTCTGAACCTACGTTTACACCACCCAGAGATGCTCTCCTCCACGGGGGAAATTCAGATATACCTCCAACTCCCAATTTTTGGCTCGCTCTGGTAACAAGTTGAGAGGGCCAGAAGTTTCAAGTAATTACAAGTGCAAAGCTTCTTGACACTGAGGAGGGGGGCAATCTAGAACTACGGAGCTAGGGAACCAGGTCTAGCCTTTGCACTCCTCAGTCCCACAGTCGTCCACCCTACAGAAGAGGCAACTAACTGGTCCGCCTACTTCCCTCCCCGCCCCCAACAGTTCACCCCACCCCCAACCCGGACGTGGAGCCCACCAGAGGTCCCGCACCTGCGGGACCAGCCGGCCGGCCGGCCGCTTCTCCTCACGAAGGGAGGGCTCCGACGCTTTCCACCCCTCGCCTCCGGCCACCCACCTCTCCCGCCACAGCCCTGGCTGGCCCGGCGCAGGACCAACACCTGGTCCACAAGCTGGGCGAGGACCAGGCCTTCTCTGGTGCCGACCTCCAAGGCCTCCTCACCTCCCACTAAACCAGGCCGGTCCAGACGCGTAAGGCCCGGAAAGAAACTCTGGCGCTCCCTGACTGGCCGGGCTCTCCTCCCCAACTACTGCAGCTTTCCTGCGAGGCCGAAGGTCCGCGGCCGCAGTTTCCGGGCCTCGGTGCCCCGCCGGACTCGAACCCCCGGCCCGGCCTTCGCAAGGCCGAGCCCCGGGGCTGGGCAGCTTCCGCGACCAGCATCCCGCCGGCCGGGTTCCTCCGGCGACTGGCCTAGCCCCCGCCCGGCGTGCGGTACTTACCGCTGAGCGCCGAGGCCTGCAGGGTGGCCCCCGACGTGCCGTCGATGACTTTGATGGTCCCGCGGCTGGTGACGGCCAGGATGGCGTTGAGCGCCGGGTGATAGGAAAGGCTGTGCAGCCCGTCGGCGTCGCAGCGCATGCAGCCGTCCCGCAGCACCAGCCACTCGGAGCCCCCCGCCCCGGCCGCCGCCGCGGAGGAGCAGCCTGGGCCGGAGGCCGCCGCAGGCGCAGCCGCCATCTTCCGGCCTGCGCTCAGCACAATCACACTGGGAAGCGGCTCAGTGACAGTCCCGGGAGGTGCAGCACCACCGCCAGTCACCATCCGGGGCCAGGGGGCAAAGCAGAGCGCGTTAGCCGGAAATGAAGTCAAGCGCCCGCACGCACGCGAAACGTTCGCCACCCGGCCGGACAGGCCAGACGCTCTAGGAGGATGGCGGGGGAGGGGACAGGGGGTGGGACCGAAGCCCAGCGGGCGGAGCATGCGCGGGAGGGCCCGACAGGATGAGCGCGCGGGTAGGGTGGCGAGGGAAGGGAAAGGAAATAGGGGGTGGGGTTGAGGGCGGGGCCGGGTTCTGGCGGCTGGAGCATGCGTGGAAGGGATCATAGGGCCCGGGTCGGAGTGCTAACTGGGACTGGTGAGGGAAGGGGCGGGGCGGGAACTCGACAGGCGGAGCTTCCGAGGAGGGCTGGCGTTTGCCACGCGCCCCTGCTCTGGCCATCTCGGCGTCCTCAACATCCCAGTTTCTTCCTGCGAGCCCTGGGAGTGGCTGCGGCTGGAGTTCCGCCTGGCGCCTCGCGGAGCGGGCTAAGCTGGGTTCTGTGTAGTTCCGCTAGGCGGACTCCAGGCCCTTCGCGGCGGGTGTAATTATGCCGGCCGTTCCCCGCAGGCGCGGGCCAGCGGATCCGGAAGCAGGCCTCGGCTCATAATCAGAGCAGTCTCTTGTTTGGATTTGAGGAACCAAACGACCTTTCGTACCTGTGACTTTTACAGCGTGGTCCCCATTCCCAAGTTGTTTTGTAAAGCTGAAATGGTAGAGAATGAGGTGCTAACAGTTTAGCGTCCAAATAACTACTTACATGAATAGGTTTGTATGGGTTTTGGAGGGGTAGTCAATTTAGTATGATCCAGCCTCATTTAGAGAATAGTTTTTTTTTTTTTCAAACTATGTTGAAACACTAGATTCAGTTACTTGCAGATAGATAGTGTCAACCTGGGTGTGGTGGCAGGTGCCTGAAATCCTAGCCCAAGGGTGTCTGAGGCAGGACTGCCACCAATTCGAGGCAAGTCTGGGCTAAGTAACAAGAACTCTCAAGGAGTGTGGGGGTGAGGGTTGGTGGTATACCTGCATGTATATATGCATATTTATCAGAGAAGACCTCTGTGATTTAACCCCAAATGCTACAATAACTTTGAACAGATTAAATTAAAACTAAGGGATATGTCTTACCAGTATTCAAAAATTGCCCTAAGGTCCAACTTAACCTTTCACCGAGTTTTCTTCAGTGATACATATTATATACTTTTAGTACGATATCAAAGGTAGGGATTTGAGGTTTGATGTATATATACTTAGCTCCCCAACACCGAAAAAAAAAAATCGTGAATAAATACATTCACTGTAGTTCTGGGGCTAGAGACGTAGCTCAATAACGTGCTTGCAGACTTCTCTGAGTTTGATTCCCAACACAAAAATAATTTTCTTTTTAAACAGCATGTATTGGGCATTTGAGTATCATTAGTATCATTGAGTATCATTATCTTCAAAAGGCTTAGTTTTCCTTAAAACGGTGGGTTGGGAATAGAGTTCAGTGGCCAAGCACTTGCAGCCCTAGGTCCAATTCCCAAACTGCATGGGTGGGAAAAAAAAAAAAAAAAGCCCATTGCTGTAGTGGAGCATGACTGTAATCCCAGCACTCCAGAGGCTGAGGCAGGAGGAGTAACTAAATTGTGAGTTCCAGCCCAGCCAGAGCTGAATAGTAAAACTTAAAAAATGGCTGTGCCTGGTGGTGTGGGACTTTAATCCCAGCACCTCTGAGGCAGAGGCAGGCAAATCTGAGTTCAATGAGGCTTGTCTGGCCTACACAGAAAATTCCAAACTAGCCAGGGCTACATAATGACTACCTATAAAAAATTTTAAAAGTTTTAAAAAAACTAGTGCTGTTAAGAATATTAAGACTCATTTATGATCCACACCTATAATCCCAGCACTTGGGAGGCAGAGGCAGGCAGATTTATGAGTTTGAAGCCAGCTTGGACTACATAGGGAGTTCCAGACCAGCTGGGGCTACAGGGAGACCCTATCTCAAAAAGACAAAAAGGCGGGTGTTCAGGGTCATCTGATACAAGACTTTGAACCCAGCCTGAGCTACATAAAACACTATAGGTGGGGAGGGGGAAATCATTGAAAAAATTACCTTCATACATTCCTGCAGACTTCCACCAGGAAATATTTATGGATTATCCCAATTTTATATATTCCATTTTTTAATATTTTATTATTTTTACTTTATGTGTATGCATGCATTGCCTGCATGTATGTAAGTGCACCCATGTCATGCAGTGGAGGACAAAAGAGGGCATCGGATCCCCTGGAACTAGCACCATGTGAGTGCTAGGATTCAAACCCAGGTCTTCTGCAAGAACAGCCAGTGCTCTTAACTGCTGAGCCCCATATTCTTTAAAAAAAATTATACTTTAGCCGGGCATGGTGGCGCATGCCTTTAATCCCAGCACTTGGGAGGCAGAGGCAGGAGGATCTTTGTGAGTTCGAGTGACTCTTACATTCTTTCTGCCCTCTCTTCTGTGATGTTCCTCAGTGTTGGGGGTGGGGGTGGTATATATATATATATATATATATATATATATACTTTATGAGTGTTTTGTCAGCCTGTGAGTAAGTGTGTGAAATGCCAATGAAGCCTGAAGCGGGTATTGGATCCCCTGAAACTTGAGCTATGGATGATTATTAACTGCCATATGGGTCCTGGGTACTGAATCCTGATCCTCTGCAACAGCAACCAGTGCTTTTAACTGCTGACCCATCTCTCAAGGAGGATATATTCCTTTTATCTAATGTTAGAAGTGAAAAAACTCAAATATTATTAAAGTATAAATGAGTATTGGATTTTTAGTTACTCTAACATTATCTCTTATTAGCCAAGCAAGTTGCTTACACACATACTGAAGATCTCTTTCTTTCTCCCTCCTCATCCCTTCCCCCCTCTTTCTCTCTCAACTGATATTACAGAAGCTTGAACTTCTGTACCCGTTGCCTCTACCTCCCCAGTGGGACCCACAACCACCCTGGTTCTGAGAATGTTCTACTAAGTCAAATGAAAATGATAAAATTTCTTGCACCACTTGTATGGTGGCTAACCTTAGGTCTCAGCTTGACTGGATCTGGAATCAGCTAAAAAGCAAGCCAGTAAGCAGTGCTCCTCCATGGTCTCTGCTTCCATTCCTACCTTGGCTCCCCTCCATGATGGACTGTAAAGTGTGAGGTGAGATAAACCATGTATCACAGCCACAGAAAGTAAAACAATTTCCTTTAGTGCTGGTAAATAAAAACCAGGCAAAACAAAGGCTAAATGCCTTGTCCATGATCTCACTGTCTTTGAGTTGTTGCTAACATAAGCTAGATTTTGAACACAGGCAGTTTCATTTGGAAGCTCATACTGCTTATTTCAGACTCATGCTCAGAAACCTGTGTAATGAGTTGGGCTTGATAGTGCATACCTCTAATCCTAGCACTTGGGAGGCAGAGGCAGAGGGATCTCTGCTAGATAGAGGCCAGCCTGGTCTATATATTGAGTTCCAGGCCAGCTGGGGCTGCAGGAAAACCATGTCTCAACCAAAAATAAATCTCAAGCTCACATGTGCATAGATTCCTGAAAATAAGTGTTTCAAAGATCATTCTTTATTGTAATCTTTTGCTTTTTTGTGAGACTATGAGTGTAGTTTAAGGGCTTACTGAGATCTTTAAGAGGTTCAAGACCCAGGTTCAGGTTTAGAACCAATCATAAAAATGGGCGTGGTGGCACATGTCTTTAATCCCAGCACTTGGGAGGCAGAGGCAGGCGGATCTCTGTGAGTTCATGGCCAGCCTGGTCTACATAGGGAGTTCCAAGCAGCTGGAGCTACAGGGAGACCTTGTCTCAAAAAGACCAAAAAAAGGAAAAAGCTTGGTAGTTAAAAGTAGGTGTACAGGTAATTTAAATTTGCTAAAATATGCCATGTATGTTTTGAGCAGTTACCTTTTATCCCTCCTTTTTTATGTATTTAATTTTTAAATAATAAGTTATTTTAATTATAGCTTGCCCATGGCAGTTAAAAGAGAATGTTGTGAGAGCCAGAATATCCCAAAGTTGCCCATGCTCCTGTAAATAACCCCTTATCCATGTTACTTTAAATAACTTATAAGTTATTTACCTTAATTAAACTTATAAGTGGCTTGACTAGCAGGCATGAACACTTGTGCTCCCCTCGTTGGCTATCAGACTATTGAAAGAATGGATGGATTCCAAGAAATGAGAATCTCCTCAGAAATCTCCTAATGGAGAAAGAATAGTCTGGTGGCAGCTAGAGTAGGAACTTGTTCTGTAGAGGAACCTCTTACAACTTATCAGACGACCTTGCAGGAGAAACTGACCTTGCAGGAAATTTGTGGAGCTGAGACAGTGGTGAGCAAGCACTGTGTGACACTATTCCTGGGGAGATGTGAGCAAATGTCAACTCAACCCACATAGGGAACTAATAACAGACTAAAGTAAAGAGACCACCAAAGCCCAACTGGGTGAGCTGATGGGTTACTTACAAGAACAGAAATGACTAAAGATCAATGCTACAGGGAGATCCTGTCTCAAAAAATAAACAAAAATAAAAATAACACCCTCCTGTCTTATGGAGGGAAAGCTCCTTAAGATGGAGTGTCTTAGCCAGGCGTGGTGGCACAGGCCTTTAATCCCAGCACTCGGGAGGCAGAGGCAGGCTGGTCTATATGAGTTCAAGGCCAGCCTGGTCTACATAGTTCCAGGCCAGCTGGGGCTACCAGGAGACCCTGTCTCAAAAAAGACACCCCCCCCCAAAAAAAAAGATGGAGTGTCTTTATCTCTCAGAGAAAACTGCTATACAACAAGGGAACGCACCTTGGCCATGATAGGTAAAGTAGGTGATGGATGAATCCGGTTGATCAGGAGAAAGCACCAGGACACAGATAAAACTCCAGCAGAATAGAGTTTATTAGCAAAGGAACACATGGGACCGATTCCTTTCCCGGCAGGGAAAATGTCTGCCCCAGGTCGTAAGCTGGGGTCTTTTTTATAAGGGGAGGCTTCTGGGGGGTGCAGAAGGCAGGAGGATATATTCTTTTTAAAGTTGGGGGCGGGGAGGAAGCCAGAGAGCGGAACTGTTAAAACTTTCCCGCTTTAGAGATCAAAGGGGAAGCCTGCTGTGTTGGCCAAACATTGGAGAAAAGTCTGCTT